AGCGTTCATAGCTTAGAGAGCTGGGGCTGCTCACTATGCTGTTACCATGCCTGCTCTGTGGTAGTCTTAAAAGCTGAATTATTTTTGCATGTCTCAAACAGGAGGGCGGAAAACATGTTAGATGGGGTTTGAGGGGAGGAGCCCATCGATGATTGGGAAAAGAAATCACAAGACTCTCCAACAAAAGTGACATTGGACTTGGGGATATGGCTCAGTGGTAGAGTGATGCCCAGCAAAAATGAGTCCCCAAGTTCAGTCCCCAGTACTGGAGGAAAAAAGTGAAGTGACTCCCGGCACGGCGGCACACACCTTTAGTTCTAGCATCTGGGAGGCAGAGGCAGGGGCAGCCTGGTGTACATGGTGAGTTCAAAGCCAACTGGAGCTAGCTAGTGAGACCCTGTCTCAAAAGAACAAAGCCAACAACAGATGACACCGATCTATGATGGCTTTCCTGAAACCAGGAGAGGTTTGGGCTACAAGAGAAACTAGACCAAAGTTGAGTCGGTGTGCTTTCTCAAGCACAACCACAGTGTGTCACACGAAGCATGTAAAACACTGCTGGGTTTATACAGGTGTAGAAGAGTGATCAGTGAGGGGACTATGACTCAGGTGTTCTTGTCAGAAACACGCTTCTCTCTTACAGTCCCCACGATAGGCGGAAAACACGTGGGCGTCACTGAACTCCTTTTTCAAGTGGGAAATCCGAACTGCAGCGTGGGTAAGCAGTTTATCCGACTGTCTGATTCCAAAGCCTAAGATCTTTTACCAGATCCACTCTTGTGGGTCAGCCCCACTCCCAGTTCCCCCACCGAAGAGTGGACAGGAAAAACCATCCTGAGGTTCTTCTCAATAAAATCTAGAAAAGCCCACAAGCCCACTTGAGACACACTTCTGTCTCTGCGTTTGTAAAGTGCATCCTCAGATCTCAGATGCCTGTCTGCATGAGGAAATAAAGAAGTCCCCAGGCCTGCCATCTGGGAGTGGCCAGAGAACAACAGACTAAATAGGCCAGCCTTGTCCTTCTGGTTCCCAAACCTGAAGGGACTGTTCCATCTTGCACAGACTTTAGCTGGCTCAGTGCATGATCCTTGCCAACATTTCAGGAATATCTCCCCAAAGCCAAACCCATAGCAGGCTGGAGATGATGGAGGTGGGAGACTCTGTTTAACACATTGAAATGCCCTTGGAATCCGGAGGAAGCCGCGGTGTTCACACAGCCCGTGCTCTTCATTGTTAGCATCCTGGGGCATGTAGTGAAAGCAGTGACCAAGAGCTCTTAGTGCTTTAGTAGTAGATCTCAGATACTCTGGGGATGTGTGGGAAGGGGAGAGAAAGGGGGCCATTGCAGCCACAGAAGAGAAACACTTCGCTTGTAGAGTGGGAAGGCTATGCTTTATCTTTTTTTGTGTAACAAGGAAGCAAGACCCACGGCTCTTAGCTGGCTTCTGATTTCTCTGTTAAAATGACAGGGAAACTAATGGATACAGATGCGTTTGCCCTTGGGAACCACAAGTCAAGCCTCTTGGGCAAGGCTCACCACCCCCCACTCCAATATATGTAAGTTCTGACAGCTCAAAGCCTCAAGACTCACCCCTCCACACACCAATATATATAAGTTCTCTGACGAGACATCTTCATTTGCTTTGAAATCTGACTCAAGTTCTGAGCTGTGATAAGTGCTGATGACACTGACTGTCCTTCACTGATAAGACACATATGGTAATTTTTCAGGCCTTCAAAAGCAACCAACAGGCTCAGGCAATAGCTCAGTCTGTGAACTGCCCATCTTGCGAGCCTGAGGACCAGAGCTTATTTCCCAGAACATACACAATAAAGAAGGAGGAGGAGGAGGAGGAGAGGAAGAAGAAGAAGAAGAAGAAGAAGAAGAAGAAGAAGAAGAAGAAGAAGAAGAAGAAGAAGAAGAAGAAGAAGAAGCCTATTGCGGTGGCACAATCTTGTCATCTCAGCACTGGGCAGGTGGAGAAGGAAGGCTCCTGAGGTTTCCCTGACCCAGAGCCTAGCTGAGTCAGTGATGAGTCTGCCTCAGAAACCAAAGTGGATCGTGCCTGAAGATGACATCAAAGGTTGATCTCTGGCCTCTGTGAATACCTGCATATCCATGAGACACCCCTTCGACACACACCACACACACACATACACACACACACACACCACACACACACACAAAGAGCACACACACAAAGAGCACACAGTCAATAGCAAGATGCTAGACTTTATGTACAACATAGAAACTTAATCATACAAAAAAGTCTACATTTGCATATATGAATGTGTATTAAAACTAACAGAATTTACATGTTAACAGTGATGATTTTCAGACACATGAATATAGAGTATTTTTAGCTTCTTTATATATACATATATATATATGTGTGTGTGTGTATGTACATTTTTAACATTTTTGTTTCAGTATTTGGAGACAGGGTCATGTTACATGGCCCAGGCAGACCTGGAATTTGCTATCCTTTGCCTAAACCTTGGTATTTAATGATATTACAGACAGCTACCACCTTGCCCAACTTCCAAATTCTTTATAATAAGCCACGAAGTGTCTTTGTAAGCAGTAGAAAGGATGCATAGAAGAAATCAAGTTGCCCTCAAAAGTAGCGGGTGTCACCGTTATACATGTAGGTGTTGAACAAGAAGTTGATAGTAGGGCCGGAGAGATGGACCCATGGTGTAGAGCACCCGTGGTGTGGAGCACCCATGGTGTGGAGCACTAGGTACTCTTCCAGAAGACCCAGGTTCAATTGCCAGCACCACACGGTGGTTAACTACCATCTGTAGTACCCTAAACCCAAGGGCACTGCATGTGAGTGGTGCACACGAGTCTGCAGGTAAAACATCCATACATATAAGATAAAAGCAAATAAATCTTAAAAAGAAATTGACAGTGAAAGGTTGGAAGAAGTTCAGATTTTGAAAGATGTGGAAGAAGACACAGCTCAACATTTTTTTTTTTGATTTCTCCATCAGATTTCCCAGAGTTATTTGACTTGAAAATAGTATTTATACATGTATGCATGTAAATGCGTATCTAAGAGAGGGCCTCACTGACGTCCAGAATGACCTGGATCTCAAAACTCCCCTGTCTCAGTCTCCCAAGCACTAGGGTCACAGGTGTGCACTACCACGCCGGTTTGAATGACTTACTGATTTATTTATTTTCAAGTGCTAGGAGTTAAAACCAGGGCCTCAGACATACCGTGAACGTGTTCTGCCACTGTGCAACACCCCAGCCGTGTCCGCACTCTCAAATAACAAAACAAACGTGAGAAAATGAGATTTATAGGAAGAATGGTGTCATAAGCAAGGTCAAAGACACGTCTAAACACCCCACCATAGAGGGTAGAAAAATGTTGACCGGAAGGCAAGACATGGGTGTGAGGATACACTCCTCAGTTCACCAGCCCGGGTTCTATTTGCAGCTCTTCCATTCACTGAGCCATCCACCGGACCCCTTTGGGCCTCCCTCCCCTTGGCTCTCTGTGTGATCCGGTGCTGGGTCTTTACACTGGTTTCCCTGGCCTGGAAAAAAAAATAATAAAAGGAACGACTCCAGGTCCAAGATTGAGACCACCCTCACTAGTGTTCAGCCAGGCCGCTCCTTTCCTGGAATAGGCACTTAGCCTCCTTGTGCACACAGCGTTTCCTCATCCCTCGGTTTCAGGTGTCCTCCCTGGGGACGTGTCGCAAGGGCTGACTAACGCACAAGAGTGTCTCACCAGAGACGTGCAGCGCAGGTGCTGGGAGTTCCAGGGCCCCAGAGCATCCCAGGGGGAGCCATCACCTTGACCTCAGACCGCAGGTGTCGTGCTCTGGACTTCCCACCACCACACGTCACCGCAAGTCTCAGGCCACATCAAGTTCTTTCCCCAAGGATGGGAAAACACTCCCATGAATGGACTAAGGCGGCTGATTCGATATAGTACAGAGAAGAATCCTTTCTCAAGCCAGCAGCAAACACCTTCAACAACCCCCTTAGCATCGTCTCTCCCAGAGCCCCCGAAATCATTGCCTGTGGAAGAGGACTGCCCAGCTTCCTCTTTCAGCCCCTAGGAATGAATTCTTAGGGGGATGTGTTCATTTTTGCCTTGTTTTCGTTTTTATTTTTTTTTGAGACAGGGTCTTACTATGTGTGCTTGGCTGGTCTGGAACTCACTAGGTAGGTCAGGCTGGCCTCGAACTCATGGAGGTCTTCTTGCCTCTGCCTCCCCAGTGCTGGGATTACAGGGGTGTACATCACTGTGTCTGACTCGTGTTGCATTTGTGGGTCAATTCTCAGGGTTTCCTTTCTAGTTTCAAATATTTCTGTAGATTTGTTTATTCTCTCTCTCTCCCTCTCTCTCTCTCTCTCTCTCTCTCTCTCTCTCTCTCTCTCTCTCTCTCTCCTCCACCCCCACCCCCGCCGCCCCGTGTGTGTGTGTGTGTGTGTGTGTGTGTGTGTGTGTGTGTGTGCAGTCCCCCAAAGGCACTCCTGTAGAGGTCAAAGGACAACTTTTGGGAGTCAGTTCTCTCCTTCCACTATGTGGGTCCTGTGATCAAACTCAGGTGGTGGGTTTGGTGGCAAGCATTTTTTATCTGCTGAGCCATCTTATGACTTCACTTTCGGATTTCAGATAGAATATGTACTTAAGCCTTGTAGAACCCCCCTCACCTACCTACCTACCTACCTACCTACCTACCTACCTACCTACCTATCTACCTATCTAATTTCGCTGGGAACCAAAATGAACTTGGGCTGGGCTAATAAGAGCTCATTAGTCACACTGAAATCCTATTCAGTTTTTTTTTTTTTTCCCCATAGTACTTTTTCTGTCCTAGGGATGGAAACCAGGGCCTTGCACCTGCTAGGTAAGCAGTCCACCTGTGTTATATCCCTCAGCACAACTCCGACAGCTTTAACTCCCCTCTGTGTGGGTGAGAGGAGATGGGTGTTGCCTGGGCAACTTGGGGCAAGCTGGCGCCCACGCTGACCTTGGAGGAGCCGCGCTCCTCCCTGCAGGTGTGCGCACGCTTGTGTGTTGGAAAAACATCTGCGAACCTGTCGCGCTGCTTTCCGTGGGTCAGCCTGGTCTGTCTCGCACGGACCTCGAAAACACCCCAGAGCAGGTGATTTCCCTGGATACCCATCCTGGCTGCCGTGGGGTGGGAGTGGGAGGCGGCGGAGGCTGCAGCCTGTAGGACCCTCCTCCGGGAATCCCTTCCTGTCGCTGCCTCGCTGAGGTGTCTGTCCTAGCGCCGTCGGGTCAGGCTCCCAGCTACGCCCCCAACTCCCGGCTGAGCCCACGTGCAGAAGGGACGTTGGACCCCCGCGTGGACTAGTGTCCCTTCTGTACCCTGCCTGTATAGTGCCCGCCCGGAGCTGGCTCTGCGAGTCGCGGGTCCTCAGCAGCGCCACACGGACACGGACACCGAGGGAGGCGGGCAGCCCGTATGCAAATGTCCGAGGGGCCCAGGGCTGCCCCTCCCGTTGGGATAAAAGGCGGGGCGGGGCGCGCACCGGACCGTAGAAGCCGCTGCCTCCCGGGAGCCGGCGGTGCGCTCCGGCCGAGCCTCCCGCCCCGTGTCCCCCGCCGCGCGTCGTCTACAGCCCAGACAATCTCCCGCCGCTCCTGGTAAGGACTCGTGGCCGAGTGGCGTCAAAAGTCAGGGGTGGGGAGCAAGCTGCTGAGGCTGCCAGGGGCGACACGCGTGCCCCCTCACCCCCATCGGGTCTGCACCGACTTGCGTCCTCCTCAGCGGCCCGGGTGTGCACTTTCTCAATGGGAACGTGGGAAGCCGGCGCCCACGCCGTACTCTCCACGGCTTAGCAGGTGGCATCTCCCCAGGAGCTGCGCACTAGCCAGTTTGTCCCCAGGCAATGTGCAGTCAGGTCGGAAAGTACAGCATTTGGTTCGAGCAAGGTTAGCAGGAACGGGCAGGGTCTCGGGTTGGTTTGAGATGCAGGGAGAGAGAAAGGGGCTCCGCGGGGGCTCGCGCTGTCCCGTGGTGATTCTCCACTTTTCTGTAGACGTCCCCCGGACGGGATGCACTAGGAAGTGACAGGCGAGGAGAACCCACTGAGGGGGAAGGTGTGGATGTGCACACCTTTGAACGAGCAGAACGAATCGGGGCCCCTACACCCCTATGCAACGTTGAACCTGCTGGTTGTGCCGGCCCAGCAAGCTACCTGGCCCCACCAAGAGCCATCTCCCCCGGCAGAAAAAAAAGACTAGTAGCCCTTTGAAAAGCTCCTTTGACGTTTGTTTCTAAAGCTAATCCCAGTCCAAACCAGCTGAGATCTGGGGCTTGACCTGATGTTTCACTGTGAAAAACGCCTTGTCTCTGATCTCCACCACCCTCCCTGGATTCCATAAACGACAGTATGCGAAGATGGAAAGCATCCTCCCAGGAGGCTCCATGCCTAGCTTGACTGTCTGCCCATCTTAGAGCTGCTGTGCACTGGAGCACGGGAATGCAAGGAAACAGTCTGGGACCAATCAGAGCACCTAGGGAGGGTGGGCCATGAGGCTTCCCTGTGACCTGAGGCTTCCCTGTGACCTGGGGCTTCCCTGGAGGGTACAGACATATTGCTTAGGGGGGCGGATGGGTGTCCTTAAAGCTGATGAAAACGTACAAGAAGGTCAAAGCCAGGCAGGACAAACAGAAAGGTGACAGGGCCCGGAGAGGATTAATCCTGTAGACGCCTGACACATCTCCACTCCTGTTTCTGTTTGTGTGCATTTGTCATGGTGCCCGTTGGTAACCGGATAACTGGAAGACTTAGAAACATGTCCGAGTTTTGGCTTATTTCGGCCCCTGGCGATAAGGAAAACTTACAAGCTCTGGAAAGGATGAACCATGTCACCTCAAAGTCCAACCTGTCCCACAACACCAAGTTTGCCATCCCTGACTTCAAGGTAAGAGCCCTGGAGATGAGGGAGGAGGCTATGGATTGGAGGAGGGCAGGGATTTCTGAGCAAGGAGTTGGTGTCTCAGAAGCCAAGGACTTCGGGCAAATGTAGGAATGGTGACAATAAATAAGCCTGAGTTAGAGGATGGACAGACAGGGGTGGCAGTGAGACTTTATGCCATAGCCCCAGATTAACTGTGGCCCTTCTGGACTTGAAGCCATAGGTAAGCATGCACAGGGCAGGCCACGGTGGATAGAGTGTGGATTGAGAGTGGAAGGGATCCTCGGGAGTGGTGCTTGGAGTCTCCTGTTTTGTCTGCAGCATCTAAACAGAACCACTGCATGATTAAATGTGTGGCTTGGGGGGCCTTCAGCTTTGATGGTTTCCCTGACCTAGAGGCAGTCCGGGAAGTCTAGGATCTTTCTGATTCTGTTGGACCGGAGAAAGGGGATGCTGCAGTAGGGTTCTTGTAGTGGATGGGGAGGTTAGAATGAAACAAATGTTAAAATGAGCAAGGTAGGAATAATCTTGTAGTAACAGAGTAATAAGAATCGCTTTATTTTGTTTGTATGAGTGTTTTGTTTGCATGTATGTGTGTGCACCACGTGTGTGCCTGGGACCTATGGAGGACAGAAGAGGGCGTCAGAGACCTTGTAACTGGAGCCGTGTGGGTGCTGGGTATGGAACCCAGGTCCTCTCCAAGAGCAGCCAGCACTCTTAACTGTTGGGCCATCTCTCCAGCCCCCAGGAACGATCTTTTTCAAAAAGATGTGGCCAGGAGTGCTGGCGCGTGCCCGTAATCCTTGCACTCTGGAGGCAAACTGGAGGACTGCTATAAATTCTAGGCCAGCCTGCTCTATAAAAGGAGTTCCAGGGCTAAATTGTGAGACCCTTTTCTCAGAGAGAGGGGGCTAGGAGGGGAGGGCGGGAGGAGGCTTGGGCCACAGTCAGTAGAGTACCTGAGTTCAAGCCCCAACATCCGTATAAAAGGCTGGTGTGACCCACCTGCTCTGAGGAGCAGACCCTTCCTTCCCGTGTCTCTGAAAAGACCCTTCAGTGGGTCTTTGGACACTGCGCTTATTTTCTATACTAAGAAACAGACCCTGAGTAGTCTGTAAAGAACCTCTATAAACTGAGCTGAGGTCAGGCCACGAATGATCCTTCCTATGTATTCTGTTGTCATCCTGTCCCAGAAAACGCAATTTTAAAAAACAAGGAAGCAAGTTTGGATTCCTAGCATCTGTACCAGGTTTCACTGGTGTGCAACGATAATCCCAGCACTGGAGAAGCCAAGGCAGGGGTCCCTGATCATCCAGTCCAGCTGAACTGGTGAGCTCCACGTTTCAGTGAGTGCCTCAAAAAACAGGATAGAAAGAAACTGAAGAAGACCACCCTATGTTGACCTCTGACCTCTACATGTGTAAAGCATCTGCACACATGTGTATACATAGGACACACACTGACAAGTACACACCACACACAGAGAATAATAATAAAATTTAAAAGATAGGGTTTTTTTGTTGTTGTTGTTGTTCAAGACAGGGTTTCTCTGTGTAGTTTTGGAGCCTGTCCTGGATCTCAGTCTTTAGACCAGACTGGCCTTGAACTCACAGAGATCCACCTACCTCTGTCTCCTGAGTGCTGGGATTAAAGGCATGCACCACCACCACCCAGTTAAAAGGATAGTTCTTAATCTAAGTGTTTCCCCATTTTCTCTCTGGCTGTTGGCTAAAGACATCCAACTCAAGGTGAAGTGAGCCCCGCAGGGCTGTTAAAAGGACGCCTTACACCGTTGACCAGCAAGCTCATAATCCCTTTACGGTCTCTTCTAGGTGGGGACCCTGGACTCCCTCGTTGGTCTCTCTGATGAGCTGGGGAAACTCGATACCTTTGCTGAAAGGTAAAACATTTCGTGTTTACTACACACAAGTAAGAATTCGACGTTGTTGTCAGAGGACACAGCATTCTTGCTTTGGCCAAACCAAAGTATGACCTGTCTGAACCTGGTCTCGGAAGCCGGAGGAAAGAGCCAGTGGGTTCCCAGGGGTGTTGTGTCAATAGTGCTGGGTCCTCTGAGCCCTTTAGTGGTGATTTTTGTTTTTAGTTAGCTCCTCTCCTCCTCCCTCCTCTCCCTCCCTCTCTCCCTTCTTTCCTTTCTTCCTTCCTTCCTCTTCTCCCCTCCTTTTGTTCAGTAAGTCTCCTAGGTTGGCCTTGAACTTACTGTGTAGCAGCCCTGGCTGCCTTTAAACTTCCCCAGCATGCTAAGTGCTGGCCAAGGCACCATGTCCACCTCCAGTCTGCTTTTTTCAGTAATGTATGTACATAAGAAAAATTCAAAACAAAAACAAGACTACAGGGTGGAAATGAAGCTTCCTTTGGATCTGCTGGCCTGCTCTCTGTTCCCTCATCGCCTCCTTTCCTCGCTTTTGAAGCTTTGTTGTCCTAACTTAGTGGGCGAGGCTTCCAGAGCACAAGTCAGTATGTGTTGTAGTCCTTGCTAGATGCAGTTACACTTGCCTGAAGCCCAGCACTCAGGAGTCTGAGGTCAGAGGATGGCCCAAGTCCACAAGTTCAAAACCAACCTACTCAACATAGCAAGATTTTTTTTTGTTGTTTGTTTTTGTTTTTCAAGACAGTTTCTCTATAACATCCCTGGATGCCTGGAATTCGCTTTGTAGACCAGACTGGCCTTGAACTCACAGAGATTGGCCTGCCTCTGCCTCCCTAGTGTTGGGACTAAAGGCGTGCACCACTGTGCCCGCTCAACACAGCAAGATTTCAATAATAAAAATAATACACTTGCCTATAATCTCAGCACTTGGGAGGCAGAGGCAAGAGGATCCAGTACTCAAGGTCAACCTCTGCATCGCAAGTTTGAGGTCAGGCTGGGCTACTTGAGACTGTCTCACAAATAAAACGATATACTCTTAGAATAATTTTATGTAAATATATTCTATTATATATATATATGATAACATATACAGTGTATCCTGCTTTTTTCCCTTTTGCTTAATAATATAGCTCAGAGAAAGTTTCCTGTTAGCTCATGACGGCTTGCTTGCTTGGATCGTCTCTAGACATGTTACCTTGAGCTGATGAACTGTTACTTGCTTGTCTCTTTGTTGTTGGAACCCTACATCTTCTGGCTTGGGCTGTTGCCAACAATGCGCTGATGACTGTTCTCTTGGGGTACATGTAGAAGTGATGAAAATGGAGGTGTGGGCCAGAAAGTTTGTGCACATACAACTGTAGGTATGGCCCCTATCGCCCCTAGAAAATTGTTGGTCTCATTCATACTCTTCACCAAAATGGCCTCGGAACTGTATTTTCTGGTTCTTGATCAGTGTTTTGCTCTTTGAGAGAGGTTGGCTTAATAGAGGTGGAGGCAATCTTTGCCACTGTAGTTTGCAAAGACACGAGACAAAATAAACCACAAAGATAACCATGAGATAACATGCTATCATGGATGAGTGAAGGGGAGAGATGCATTGCCAGTCTTGAACCTGTGAAAGAATGTCACAGAGGACAAAGGAGCAGAGTCCTTTGTGTCAACTTCCTTTTGAGGCTGCCCTGGGCCACAAAGAAGCCTGACCAGGTTAGATAACTCACATCCAACAGTCAAATTGAATGATCTGTGCAGAAGCCAAGACCCCGAGAGCAGCCCCTGCTGGAGGCTGCCGCAGGCTTTCAGTCTTCCCTCTCCGGCAGGCTGCAGTGAGAGGAGGTGCAGCCTGCTCCAGCTGCCTTAGGAGGCGTGGGTGGGCTGTTTCCCCGCCTGGCTGCAGACATGGCACCTCTCAAGTTCCTTTTGCTAGACTTGGCACCATTAGCTGCCCCTTGGCTCCTTCCTCACTCACTGAGAGCTCGGATGCAGGGTGATTCTGGCTTTCGGGTTATTTGTTTGTTTGTTCGCTATTTCCTCCTGACAGGCATTCATATTTTGTCCTGTTACACAAGTCTCCCCTGATGGGTAATGCAGCATGTGCTTAAGAAACATACACAAAAAAATTCACGTGCTAGCAGAATGAGGGCTGTCATTAGGAAACACAGAAGCCATAAAACTTTTTAACAGCAGAGACTAGGTATGTAAGGGCTGGAAATTTATTTGCACTGTGTATTGTTTCCAGTTTCCTGGTATGCATGCATTCCCAGGCACTTTCCTATGGGGAATAAGGACAGCCGTGTGCTGTGAGCACCCTGTAATACAGACTCACTCAAGGCAGGTGTCTTGCCTCAGGAATCTGTCTGTACCGGAACTTAGGATAAAAAGAATGGACTCTGGTCATAAACCCTCCAGGTCTTTGGGATGGCCACCCCAACTCTTTGACTAGTCCTTAAGTGTCACTGGAGACAGACATGCTGGCTGGGCCTGTAAGCCGTGCAGTGGGAACCTGTCAGCACTGCCTCCGGCCAGGGGAACCGAGAAGGGACAGTTTTCAAGGTGTATTGTTTCCATATCCTTTTATTATTTATTTACTTGGGCACAAGAGTGTTTTTCCATGCAGCTGCAAGGCTTCTGCTTGTGAGAGCTCTGTTTTTAGAAAAATTTGTTCCTGCATGCTGCCTGTGTCAGTTCACTCCATAAATAATTAAAAAAAAAAAACCATTTAAGAACCCAATGATTTTACCTTTAAAAGCCTCCCTTCTCTTTAAATAGTCAAGTCCTTCCCAGCTCCTTAGCATGCTCTGTGGTCCGGTTGGTATATTGCGTTTCACAGGCACGTGGGTCCCGCATGGTCACTCAGCTGTGCCGCACAGGCTCCTCCGATGCTGTTGACTGCCACTTGCCCTTGGGTGGTCTCTCCTTTTCCGGGTGGTCTAAGAGTTGGCTGAGCAAAGGTTATGTACGTGAGGGGGGCTGTCTGTGCAGTAGCAGTAGAGAGTTCGCATGAGGACACCGTGAATCCATGCGGGTAGAATCCTGACGAGGTCTCCAGGCTTCCCACCTCAGGCTGTGTGACCCATGACCTCCACATTTGTAAACTTTTGCGTAAGACCTCATTCCTCTCTTGCTTTGTTTGGGTGCGTTTCTTTGCTGTCTCCAAGAAAACATATTGAATTACTTGCTTAGTTTAAAATTTTTTTATTACATTTATTCATTCATTCACTCATTTGTTTGTTTGTTTGTTTGGTGTGTGTGCACACATAGGTCAGAGGACAACTTGTAGGAGTCCATTTTTTTTTTCCACCATGTGGACCGAGGGCTGGAACTCAGATTGTCTGGTTTAATCACCGAGCCATCATACCAACTTTTGTTTATTTTGTCTTGTTTGTTTGTTTGTTTTTTGGTTTTTGGAGACAGGGTTTCTCTTGTGTAGCTTTGGTGCCTGTCCTGGATCTCACTCTGTTGTTGTTGGTTTTTTGGTTTTTTTTTTTTTTGAAATGCCAAAAGCAATGAATTTTTCCTCTGTATACTTATACTTTCAATTTTAATGTGTATTGTTTTATTTTTAATTTGGATATTCTGCAGTTTTTAATCTTTATATGTTTGAAAGGTTAATTTTTAAAAAAATTAGTCATTGCTGCTTTTTTTCTTGTTTTATTTCTATTGCTGTGCTGTTAAAGAGTGAATCAGGCCGGGCG